TCCTACGAAGGGAACAGCCCAACCTGCCTGGACAGTTGTTCCAGCACTTAACTGTGCTGAATTTTGGGAATTTGTTCCTTGAAATCTGACCTTTAGCACTTCCACTGCAAAGCTGTCAACTCTGAGGCAGGCTCGGCTGAGCCTTTAGAAGCAAACAGCTTACAGCACTCAAGAGTTGTTCACAAAATTCATTACTGAGAAGCATTAAAGCCCCAAACTTGTGAGAGAAATCAGGGAGGAATTGCAGCCAATTCTGATTCAGTGACTTCCTCCAGACAACTGGAAATGTGGTGCCAGCAGAACACAGGAATCCAAGGGGGAGCCACAAGAGCAAATTGTTTGTTTCAGTTGTACAAGCGGTGAGAGCAGAGGAAAACAGTGAAACCTTTACTTTAGAACAGCTTGGAAACTGAACTCTAATTCTGCATTTGTGGCTCAGGTCTCTCCCAGACCTATTTGTCTTGGGAAAGAGCTGAAAAGATGCTATGAACTCTACATTTTTCTAAATAAGGCACGACCTCGGTTATCCACTCTGGTTTCCAATTGCATCTGGTGGAACTGTGCTCCTGCTGGCGGGATGCCGAGGTCAGGAGGGGGGACAGGGATGCCGAGCATCACCAGCCCAGCACCTCCAGGGCTGCTTTTGCCGTGGGTCACAACCTCAGCTCTGCTTCCAGCACCTTCTGGGACCTGAGAAATGTGATGTCCTGCAAAGAGAGGAGGCTCCCTGCCTGTGGCACTGCTCCAGCACAGGTGGTGATCTAATGGGAAGGGAAGGAAGAGGGAGAGGGGTTTGCCGGAGCCCGGCGTGATGTGAATGTTAACAAATCCTCTCACGTCATCAGCTCCCTGCTCTCCTCTCCCTCCCTCCCTGCCTTTCCCTTTCATGAGCCAGCCTGAAATCAGGGAATTACATGCTAAGGAAAACCCTTCAGCTAAACATATAATTATTCTGCACAGGATCAGTGCAGCATAGTTAATCAGTTTACAAACTGAATTAATTTTTATTTTTTTATGTCTACATCTCCTGTTGAGGGTGCAGAAATTCTGTGTTTAAAGGGGAAAACATGGCTCGCAGTTGTGAAATGAGTATCTACAGCAGACCATTTATTAGGAGAGAAACCTCCACTGCAGGCTGTTTTGGCAGACAAACCTGTCAGTCCCCAGGACTTTGAATCACAGACTCTGTGTGGAGTTATTACAGATACTTAAGGAATAGCTGGTTTCCCATTTTAATTTTCAGCTCTTCAATAACACTGCATTCTCTGAAAATCGCAGCTGTATTTCATTGCATTGTATTTCATTTCATTTCCTTGGACTGCTTTGAAAAGTGACTATTTATTTGGACAGAGGTGTCACTTCCCTGTAAATGAGTTCACATTTTAAATGACCTACTTGTAAACTGCTCCCCTTAGGAAGTACAACATCTCCAATGCTCTTGCTTGTAAAAGTACAGAGAATTCCCATCAGATTTTGCCTCCAATGGAAACAGAAAGTCTCACTCTTTTGTTAATTCAGTAAGACATCCTAGGTCCCCTCTGCATCCCAAACCCCCAGATTCTGTACAGGACTCCCCTGCTCAGAGCACGTTAAAATAGATGGGTTTGGGTTTGGAGTGTTCACTGATAACCTGCAAAACGTCCCTGAGTTTCACAGGGAGCTCCTGCACCAAAAAGCAACAAAAATCTCCAGGTAAAGCATTCCAGATGCACATCTTGGAGGGCAGTTTGCCATTTACTCCCATTAGTGTGTTAAACCTAATCCAGGGAAATCTGACCAGCTGGAAACCACCCTGACCCTGAAGGCACTGGGGATTTTATGGGTAATGTTTCTTTTCCAGTGGGGAAATCTGAGCAAGGCAAAGCTTTTCCTTAAAAAAAAACATTATTTTGGGTCCATAGAACACATCCCCTGGAAAACAGGTAAGTTATGTAAGAAATGTCTGTAACCAGGGAAAACACCTGAAAACCATTTGGAGATGTTTAACATTTTGGAAAATTTGGGGAAAAAAGAATACTGACTAAAAACTGTTGCTAAAAATGCCTCTCCAGTTAATGTTGTCAGCTCCTTTGAAACCTTCCCTTTTAACCACATCTGCCAAACCTAACGAAGTATGTTTGCATAGAGACAAAAGTATGCAGAGTTTTAACTTCTAGAACCCCTGAGAGCCTCAGGAATCAATTTCCCCAGACTTGCATGGCCTTTTCAGGTTGTCCACACCATCAGATGCAGTTCCCTAATTGAATTCCGGTTGAGTGCGTTCCCGAGAAAGGAACTGTGGATAAATGCAAGATGCCAACTTGTCATGACAATGTTCCTTAAAGCTTACCAGTTTTTACTTTTTTGGCAAGTAACATTTCCTAAAGGAAAAGAACAGAAGGGTGTCTCCTCCTGAGGGGGGGTTCAGGCTGCAGCTGCTGCTCTCATCGTGTGCTGTAACCAGGACACTTTCTGGGGACCTGGGTCTCAAACCATTAACATCATTTTCGTGGCTTCCTTCCATCTTCTCTACAGTTATTTGATGCTTCTGGTACTCACTGCTAGTTAGTTTCAAAACATGGGCTTTGCTAACAGATTTTAGGAATAAGTTCTAATGGCTTGAAGGGATGTGATAAATGCAAGTTTTAAACCGTGTTGCTATAATTTCCCTGTGAAATATGTTATCACTTACAGTCTCCACAAATAAAACTAATTGTCTACATATTTATAAGCCCCCCAAAGGTACATTACAGAGGCATATTTGTTCCATTGTTTATTAACATGTTGCTCTCTACGGTCAAGATAATACTCATTCCTAAAGTAGTAATTTTTTGAAAGTGTCTTTGATTTATCTTCTAATGCTGTGAAAGAAGTGACCTTTCAGAATAGAAGAACCACATAAAAGCTACCTTTTCACTGCAAATCACTGCCTGTGCAGACCTTCGACCTCCCTGGCACATGGATTTAGCAGAGTGACTGTAGCCAACAGCTGAGCTACACAACACATGGAAATTACAGGCAAACAGTGGCCACAGTTAGGCAATTTTTGCAAAGCAAGGTAGTTATAAGTGGTATTAAACTGACTCCAGTCTGCCATTTGTGTGGGTCAGGTCTTTGGCTGCAACTGAACAATGCATCTGCAAAGGGATAAAAAGGAGGCTTGCAATATTAACATGGGGAAAAGGGACAAGTGTGCAACTTTCCTGCTTGTGGGTGTGCAGCTCATGCTACCAAGGAAAATATCAATTTGTGAATACTTCAATGTTCACTGCATCATATTTACTTATGCTTGAACACAGAGGCACAGCACTGACAATGCTGCCTACACCAGATATCCCTGTGGATGGTGCACTGTGCAGGCTGGCATGGAAATCCAAGTGTCAGGCAACTCCAGACATTCAAAAATCTGCTGCTTGTGTGACCTTCCTGCGCTGCACATCATGGATTACTGCTCCCCAGCATGTAATTAGTTTGCATCAGGAAGGATAAAAAAGTAGCAGGTAGTAATTTTGAATTTAGCAACAAGTATTCTACATGCTTTGATATGTAATTTAAATTATAATTCAAGTAAGGAGTTAAATTAGCAGAGTGATCTGTCCACTTTTTAACTCTTTCATGTCCTGGGAATGAAGGTGTGGGTCAGATAACTCCTCTGCAAATTCATTAGGCTTTGCTATCACCTAATGACATTGTAGCCTGGGGATCAATTCTGTATCTAAAGGTTTAGGACTCATCCCAATGACCTGCTTAAACACTTCCAATTACCCCGAGTTCCCAACGCCTGAGAAACAAAGTACATCCATTCCCCCAGACACCGTTTGCTTCACAAGACTCTGCGCTGGTAGGAGAATAATTAGCTGATAATGGCAACGTGTCTGATGAGCACCAAAACAGCCCAATTTCAGCGAAGTGTGGAGATGCACCTCAGCAAAATGAGATCAGAACCATTCCTCTATTAATGAGAAGACTTTGAAAGCTTTAAGGACATTCGAGTGGGCATCCAATTCAACCCTCCCATAAGTTCAGTCATCACATCACAGGAATCATTTCCAGGAGTAACCTACACCCCAAATTTGCACCTCTTCTCCTTATATAACAGAGATCCCCCGTGGCAGGAATTATTTGTCTCCAAGACAGGCAGCTCATCGGAAGCACTGTATAACAACACTAATGCATCCCACGGTGGGAATACATCCTCCCCCCACTCCGGAGAAATTTAAACCACTTATCATCAGAACAATCCCTCGCCCTCCCATCCATCCCGGTCTGTTTGCAGCACAGCCGAGCATTGTCAGGCAAAACATGTCACAGCTGACGGCTGTGTTGTGAAACTGCGAATGTGCAGGGAAATCATCATTCCTGTCAAGTTATCCCGGCGAGTTTCCCCCGCGGAGCCGCGCTCAGCCCTGCGGAGCCTCGGACAGGCAGCCTGGGCAGGGCAGGACAGGTCCCTGGAGGAGCCTGGGCAGGGCAGGACAGGTCCCTGGAGGAGCCTGGGCAGGGCAGGACAGGTCCCTGGAGGAGCCTGGACAGGGCAGGACAGGTCCCTGGAGGAGCCTGGGCAGGGCAGGACAGGTCCCTGGAGGAGCAGGATGCCTCAGTCCAGCCCCCTGCTCCTGGTGCTCCTTGTGGTACCCAAAACTACAGACAAGCGCTGCACAGCCACTGCATCAGATCACCTGATATGAGCAAACCAGACCTAATCAGGGCAAATTTAAAGCAGCCAAACATCCCGGCGTTACCCTGTGCGAGGCATAATGGAGCCGTGAGACACAAACACTTCGTGTCTGCATTGTCCAACAAATGCAGTTGATCCCTGCTCCGATGTCGGCAGCAATTCCCACAGCACAGCACAGCTCCAGCAGCCTCTCCTCAGCCCTGTCTCTTAACAACTACTGGGCAAAGCAGCACAGGGATGATCAGAACTGAATAAACTCTTCCCAAAACAAAGAATGCGAGAGCACGGATGCAAACCGCCGGGATCCAAAGTACAGACAATACGCGGCAATAAACGATCCTACCTTTCATCCAATCCACTACTTGCTTGGGCGTCCACTTGCTAATAGGTTCCATAACGAGAGCCATCATCAGATCACTTTATCATTCACACCAAAATCGGGGGGAAAAGGAGAGAAAAATTGTATCAGAGCATGGCTGGGCTAAGAGAGCTGTGGGATTTTACGGTGCAGTTCAAAGAGAAGATGATGCTTTGTCCCTCCAGGTCCCTCCCGCACTGATTCAGTAATGTATAAAATTACACTGCTTGATCAGCTCTGGCACCTCCCCCACTGCACACAGCCTGCAACACCCGGAGCACCGAGCCAGGAAATGGTGCAGTACACACTGACTTACCAAAGGCTGTGCCCGCCGAGCCAGCGGCACGGATAAAACACGGCATTCCACACCAGCGATCCCGCCGGAGCCGCTCCGCCGAGCCGCGTTATCCCAGCGAGCCCCCGGATCTTCAGCGGGGAAAATGTCACTACTGTGACTTGATGGCAGATTGTCTTGGCTTCATTGTGAATATGCTGACTGTCACTCGGCTCAAAGTGAAGACAGGAACGTCAGGATATCGCCTGGCATCTGGCAAAATGCTGAGCATCTCCATCTTTACAATGCGAAATGTTGCTGGAGTCTTGTACTGTGTAATCACGTAATTCAGAATGTCAAACACAGTATGAAAAGTCTTACCCAAGAAAAAAAACTACTGGGAGAAAACTCTTTTTTTTCCTGGCCACATTCAGAGGCAGGATATTTCCTCCTATGAGCTGCTCATTTTGTAGGGAAAGAATGACAGCATCGAGGAGGCAATTTGTACTTCTACAGCACTTTAGGATAGACAAGTACAGCAAGTATTTTGACTCTCAGTACTGGAATCATTAGTCAATGTCTCCCTTTTGTTATGAAAGAAAAAAAAAACGTTTTAAGTATTCCTAACCCTGAAGTTTACTACCCTTCTGACAGATGAAGGTGAAACATTTCAATGAGATGTGCCAAACAGCACTTTTTGGACCCATTTGTGACTCTCTGCGCCTCATGCAGCACAAATTCTGCATCCTGTGGCTGAGAAGGTGCTGCAGGCTCCAACCTTCTGTCTGAGATCTGCAGCCCCACTATTTTATGTTAAGGGGAGAAACTCAGAGACCAGAAAAAAAGGCAGAACAAAACAGTTTCACCTTTCTCTTCAGTGACCTTTCCTCTCTGCCTTTTTCTCCTGTGCTACTCCAAGTTTCCCAGCACATCAGGGGAAGAGGATGGTGATATTCTGCTCCCCTGGGGCTGTGCTGAAGTCTCCAGGCTGAGATCTGTCCTCTCTCTCTTGTATGGGGGAACATGAAAAACCAATGGAATCTTTATCACAGAATCCCAGGGTGGTTTGGGTTGGAAGGGACCTTAAAGCCCATCCCATCTCACCCCCTGCCATGGCCAGGGACATCTTCCACTTGCTCCAAGCCCTGTCCAGCCTGACCTTGGACACTTGCAGGGATGCAGGGGCAGCCTCAGCTTCTCTGAACCATGTGCCAGGGCCTGCCCACCCTCACAGGCAAGAATGCCTTCCTAAAATCCAATCTCAACCTACTCTCTGGCAGTTTATTCTCTACTCTTTCAAGGCTCTTTTTTCTATAGTTAAGGATGCAGACAGGCATCTTTCCCCCCACTAAAGCATCTCCAAAGAGATGCACCATTCTCAGCTCAGCTCAGCTCTCACTCTATCCTTTTTTATTTTTCTTTAGCTTTGGGAAATAGTGTGATTAGTATTCTATGATGTATTTGGAGTGCACAGAGCACAGATCTTCTTTACAAAAGGATTCACATCAATTCTCCTTCAAGAAGGCTGAACAGCATGTCAGCTTCCTCTCTGGGTTTTGGGAGACCACTTTCAGTAGCTTTAGTTCTGTCTAAATAGCTGTTTACAATGGACATCATAATGACAAAGCACTCAAAGGCACAATACTTCTCTTTTTAGGCAATAGTGGGCTAGAATTGAGAATAAATATTTCTATTAGCTATTGGAAACTGTACAAGTTGTCTGGGGGCTATTCTTTCTTCAAATTCCTAATTTTTTAAAGTTCAGTACCAGCATAGAAGAATTTGAGATAAGCTATGTTGTGTATGAACTTGGTATTTTGACACATTTGCACACAAAAAAAAAATCTTCATTCATGATTGTTTGGACTATTTCCCTAATTCCTGTCATTTGACAGACATTCTGTCAATGCCCTTTTGTCTCACATTTCCTACCCAGGCTTGACTGGGCACTTTTTTAAATATATTTGGACATATTTTTAAAAGAGGATGAAGCCTGAATTCAAAGCTCATCAATGTCAATGGGAATAATTCCACTCATTTAAATTGTCCTTGGATGACAAAAGAGGCCTTCAACCATTATTTTGGAATCAGGACTTCCATTTTCACAATGAGAACCTTCTAAATCTTTCATGTCCTGTTACTGAATCTCCTCCCCCCAAAGATGGTTTGCATTTTCATTTATTCCCACTCTTATTCATGGTGCTGGCTCAGGCAGGAGCTATAATTTGTCTGGTATAATTTTTCTGGAAGACCCTGGCTGTTAGATAAACTCCTGTGATTTTCCTTATCATTACCAGTCACGGTTTGTCTGTATTCTGGGATTTTACAACCTTCAGGACAACCATCTACTTTTTGGTTCTACCTCTTGGAATAAAATATTCAAAGCTGTTAAAAAAAGCTCCATTTCTCTCCTTCCTGATGATTTATTCAGGTTCATTCTCCGTTGCAAAGGTCAGTGCACATGGCCCTGGTTTGTCACAAATCATTCCAACCCCAGGGAAATGTTCCTTCAACTATTCCCATGGGTATGCTCAGTGTGGCAGCCCATGGGTGGCTCTACCTGGGGATTTCCTCTGCTTCTTCTTTTGTTGTTTCCTTAAAGATTTATTCCTTACACCCACGGGAATGTCACAGGAACGTGGCAAGATCTGGAAAGGAGCCTGTGGCAGGCCATGGGACTCAGTGATGGATCCAACTGAGCATTAGAAAGGCCAAATGGAGCCCAGACTATTTCTGGAAGCATGGTTCAAGTCAGTTCAGAGCACTTTTTGATGCGGGTTGTCCACTCTGCCTGCTGAGGTAAGGACTCTGGAATGAGTAACCATGGAATATGGAATACACCCCCTGCACTGAGCTGTCACCCCTGACAGGCTGCCACCATTCCTGTCAGCCATGGGTCACTGCAGTGGGATCAAGTGGGTGCAGTCACTAGGCAAGGAAATCTTTTAAAAATAGGCAAAACTATGCAATTCCTAAAGCTGTGCCATGTGTTTTTCTGCCTGTTTGTTGCAGGGTTTCTGCCTAGATCTATCCCCCACCCTACCTAGCACTGCTTCCTAATGCCAACATAAAAGCAACAATGCATTCCCATGACTGTGTTTTTCTTCCAGGCTGAATGTAGCAAATCAAGAGAAAAAAGATCAAGGAACATCTTTCTCACTATTATTCTATCTAGGTCATGTAAATGAGAAATACTTTCTGACTGAAGTCTGCATAAGCATTGGAGCAAAGGGAGGCATTTGAAAGGGAGAAAGGAAGCAGAGCTTTCACTACCAAGCAACGTTGTTGTCAAAGGCCTATATAAAATAATCTGGTAATTCCAGCCCATAATCATCGCTGCTGCCTTTGACAGCGAAGGCCTAAGGCTGAACAGACTGGTGGAAAGGTTTGGAGTCCCTCCTCCTTCCCAGCAATAATGCTGAGAGTGCTGTAGCTTTTGAGCACTGCCTGGTATCTCTGGGATTGCTAATTAAACCATCAGTCTCCGTATTTTCATGGCCACTGTGGGAGGCAGTTAAATGTTCTTGTGTATTTCATGGCCAGTGATAACTTTCCAATTAAGGATTATGTTCAAATCTGGTACCATAGTCACTCTAACACTTAGAACAATCATGTATTTCTCGCAGTTTTCATTTGGCAACAATTATTCTCATCTTCTTTGATGAAGAAATAACTTGCATGTTGCAAAATAAGTCCTTTAGGAGAGGGTTAGTTTAATAAAGTCTTGACATGGCATTTGATGTCCATTATGGAAAAGCAAGAACATGCAGCCCCAGATTCAATAAATCATGAATGCCCTGGAAAAGTGGTATGCAATGTTATAACTTAGGACATCTATAATTTATATTATTAATGGAAAAGTAAGCAAAATCTCCAAGGAAATGACTGTTGAACTCTCAGTTATCACTAAAGCTTTTTCTCACGTAACATTCATATATTATACAGCTGTTTTTTTGTGGAAAAGAACATATTCTCAAAAAAGAGAATGGAGCTAAACTGTTTGTTTTGGTCAGTTCTGTTCTAGGCCAGGTTCTGCCTGATGTTGCCTCCAGCCCTTGAGGCACTTGAGAGATGGCAAGCAAAGTGCCTCTGGTGAAGTTGCATGAGAGCAATAAATGTGCTGGGAGGAACAAAACCCAGCTTAGGTTTGGGATAGGGATTGACAGATTCTCCTACTTAGGGATAAACTTGGCCTTACTTAACCCTGGCTTTGCAAACTGAGGGGCTGGGCTCTGTTCTCACAGGACAGAGCTCAGGAGAGCTGGGGGAGGATCCTGTGCTTTGAGCAGCCC